GGTTGTTTGCACTGTCCCAATGTAGACCACCATCACCACCGGGGGAAGGTTGATCATTGATGTTCAAAACTACATTCAGAAAGATAAAAGAAAAAATAAGCAAAGGAGTTTTATTTTATTTTTAAAAGGTTAAACATTTTATAGGCTTTATTATGTCTGTCAGTTTGTGTTGAACTATAAACTTTATAACATTAGTCCAGAATGAGAATATGAGCGTTTCAGTGTGTCAAGTAAAACGTAATCTGATTAACATGATATCGAATTTATGATCATTTGTAATGGATGGATGCACTGATAGGTGCCGTAATTGTGATGCAATTTATTTCACCTAAGTATGCATAAAGGAAGAGGGCTCTATGTAACAAAGTTAGATATAATTCACTTTTTAAACAGATCATAACATTAACACCAACAAAATGATCTGAAACATTACGTACAAAATCCGAGACCACAAACAGTGAACAGTTGACCAATAGGTTTATGACCATCAATAGAAGCCTCGTCTGGTTTACAACTAACTTGTATCAATGGTCGAAGTTGTACTGTGATCAACGGCACAGAAAAACTGTAACTCTTTATTAATTCTAAGTGGTTTCGTTTTTCCGGTAATTTTAAAATGCAACGTGAAATATAACGGCAATGTTTGGTCGCCATTGTGATGCGTATCATCTTGATCAAATTTACTATGGAGAGCACATAGGTCAAATAGCCTTGATAAAGGTTACCCACGGTAACCGAAACGTCGGCTTATTTTCACCTGTAGCGATATCACTGTGTTTTCAAAATTACAACTTATATAAAATATATCACATGGCGCATCGATTTTTCGGTACACTCCTTACGCTGTTCGGATCTAACACTTTGTACATAGGTAATATGTTTAGTTAAAAAAACGCATGCAATCACATCAACTATTGTACATAAAGAATTAGGCAACAGAAATTTCATTTGTAACTCTGGGAGTTGATCTGGAATGAACAAGCCTTGAAGAATCATTTCAATGATTCTGTAGTAAGCGTTGCGAAGTAAATGCGACTAACTTCAGCCGCCTGGACGCTAGGTATCGATTTGCAGTTTCCATCAATAGTAGTATGTGATTGACGACACAATTTCCGCAGGGCAGCTCAAAATCTTTTAATTCGCCTGAATGCAATTTTATTTTGATTCGTTCAAATGCAGTCACTAGTAACTATCAGTTGACTCTATTTTCTCTATTCTCGCAATTTTTGAAGCTATAAGGTGAGATATTATAGTATTGGCGTATGAATGGTAGCTAATGTTTCTGTTAGGAATATCATCTTGGGGCACTCATTCAAATTAGCGCTCCAAAAATGCCAACTAGAACGCCGGCGTCATTTATTCGCCCTCAGAGTGTGCATTACTTTGAATTCTCTACCACCACACGTTGTCTCTGCGCCCACAATTGATTCATTGAAGCACAATCTGGATGAAGCTTTGAAAAGTCTTAAATTTCAATATCCGTAGAAGCGCACGAAAAAAGGACAAATTGTGACATTGTGACATTCATCTACTTTGTATGTACTGTGAACCGCTTCATCTGTCCCAAATCCTATGGGACTAGAAAAGCAATCGCTTGTAAGTATTTCCCATAATAAAACTTTGACTTTAACTTCATGACTTTAAAATGTTCTTTCTTGTATTACAGACAGTGGGATGGACATTTGATCATAGGGACCGCTTGTGCAACATTAGATGTAGTATGACTGAAAATGAACAATTATCGTCAGACATATCCAAGATCTCGAAAATCGTCTAATAAATTTCGCCGTTCGAACCCTCACACATGTTGCATTCCTACGACAAATTCGGGTGAAATACATGTAAAAAGCTTCAGGAATTCAAGCATGCTTTCGTTTTTGGTCTTCGAAAAATTGCTTTTCTGTATATTGGAACCGCAGACACATCAGATCTGAATCAATCGAATGAATACGCTAAATATGATGCATACTTTTCAGCAGTCTAGTATTAACTTCTTTGAAAGGGGTCAATTAATTAGAATGTGTTCATAGATTGTGTAGGTATGTTCCTTCCCTCACTCTGGAAAAAACTTGTAACCTATTTACAGGAGGAAGAACTGCACTCTCCTGTTACACTTTTCCCCTTAAGTTATTTAGATGAAACGCTTGAGCAAGGGTTTTGCTAAATAAACCCAGTTCTTCCTATATCAGTCTTCATGGATCGTACACTATTTATCTTTATTTATCCTGTATTAGTTTAGTTACTCATGAGTAGCTCAACGCTTTTCGTAGTAGTATGATCTGGTCACGTTTCATTCCCCGCAGTGATGGGGAGGAGACGCGAATCATTTTCGTTGATCTGTTTCTACACCAAAGCTAACCTCGATAAAAAATTACCCCACCAATTTTTTTCATTGTGCCATGATGATTAAACATGCACTGATATATAAAGTTACTGAGTGCCTCCAAATGATCAATAATTAAATCAGCAGAATGTGCAATATCGAAAGTTTTTAATGGCACTGAGACTTACATTCATTCAACCGCAACGAGGGAGACTTCATCGTCACATTATTGTTGATTGGTATGAAGAGTATGAAATGGAGAAATAGTTATGCTATTACGTATTCAAGCCAAAATAAATCAAAGCCAAACAATCAAAACTAAACTAAAACAATATGAATTATTATTCTTGACCAAAGTTCGCCCTCATTAACTTTATTTCCGAACTAAGTTTCCGAGAAAATCAATTTCGTCGTACCTAGTTTTACCTTGAAAGAAGTAATGGTACCCAGATAAATGATAATGATATAAACTTTATTGTTATTTATGGTTCTGCTAGCAGCTTTCTGTACACATGAACATTGTGATCAACATAAGAAATAATTGAAGGTTCCTTGGAAAGTGACTGTTCCTGTTGACAATATCGGACTGAAGAACGTTAGATGTTGTTCTTGATCATTTTTTGACCAACATATCGAGAAGATCAGTGATTTTTCTTGTCCTCAAAGGCCTAGCATAAACTCTAAGTGATAGCCAAATTTTGACCGATTTCCTGAAAAAAATTATATCTCACACAACCTCTATTTGATCACATAAAACATAACCTGAAGAAACAGATTTTGCTATGAACTAGTGACTGAAATTTGAATCAGGGTTATAGGAACGTCGCCAGTGAGGTGAACCATCTTGAGTTATTTTTGGTTGAACAGAAAAGTGGTAGTTGTATGATGACTTCATCTCGTAATTGAGGCGTGAGGTGATATGGGTTGTGCTACATCGTGTATAAACGAAATGAAAAACAGACGGATTAGCCGTCCGGTAGTCTAGTGGGTGGCATAATTACCCTCTGACTGTGAGGTTCCGCGTTCAATCCCTAGTTGGTTCAATGGGTTGGTACTGCTGATCAGATATAACGGTGTCGAAAAAGCCTTACAATGCGTCCTAGTTTTCAGCTCACGCTTCATGTCGAGTTCATAATATAATCAAATAAAATCCTACATTATTCTCATATAATAATGTGGTGTTCAACAGTGATATAAATCAGGATTTTGTAAACTAATAGAAGACAAGCAAGACCGATTAACCGATAGCGGAAAATAGAGGAAATATTTTTGTGTGCGTCAAAGTTAAAGTGCGACTGTAAGGAAACGCTACCAAAATCTCATTTTAAGAGTTGATCTTCAATGAGCAGTTGTCCGAGCTGTGAATATAGCAGGGCAATACACATTTATAGAATGCGCATCAATTGCTGAAAAGTGAGTACTTTTTGTGTACATTCAACATCTATAAATGAACTCGTTGATTACACTTGTTTCATTGCCCAATCTTATCCGTGGACAAACCTGCGGGGGTTCGTAACCTGAGGTCACATTCCGTTTGGGGGAAGGATCGCGACTGATATTGGGGGCACTGCGAAGACGGGACTGCCCGGCAGTAGTTGACCGTGTATAACCGGATATGTTTGTTTCTAGGTGTGTGGTGTGCAATCGATCACGTTCCTGCTTGCATAACAACATGGGGAAGAACAACGAAGAACTTAATACGGATTTTCCCGCGGAATACGCATGCCAATGAGTAATAGTGTTACGGCAACAAAAACAAAGCCAATCAGTTAAAAACTCGAGGAGTGAAAACAGTTAGAAAACACAAAACTACCACGTCATCAATATTGATAACCGTGATAACCATGATATTTGATAATCAACTATTGACTTTCTTGTACTTAGTTCACCAACTGCAACTCAAGCCGGTGTTATATATATATATATATATATATATATATATCACCAACTGCAGTATCTGTAGAATTTTGAAACAAAAACGCACACACACAGTGAGAAAACAAAAATGATGCAAGTTCCACTGAGAAAGTATAGTGCACCATATTCGCCTCTGGACAAAAAGGTATCTGCTATTGAGTTCACGATACCAGACACGTGAAGAAGTGTCTAGATTAAATATAAGAGGTACGAATAAAAAAAATACCTAATGTGTTTATTTCCAGCTGCTTCAAGCACACCGGAATTAAGGTAAGTATTGTTAGAACCTCTTTTAGGGAGATGAAAATATGAAAGAAATAACAGAATTGCTGATCCTTTTCACATTCATATAGTCTAATTAGTATTCATTCAAATTTTCGATTAACAAGTAGTCATTTGATTTCTATGAATTTGAGCACTAATTGATAGTTATAAATATCAGATGCAAGAGTGATTGTTGAGAATGTCTGTATGAATTCTGGTCGTAGTCATTTGCGCAAGATCTCAGGTTTTATTGCCCGAAATGTTATACAAAAAATTATGCATATCATTATCTACCGTTCATAGGGGATTTACTAACAAGTAATAAATAATGGGCCATTTTCGAACTGATCACGTGAGAGACAGAGAACGGATTACCTTTGATCGAGGGATTTCTACGTAATTCTGAATTCTCGTATCATTTGACATGACAAATACACCAACGTCATTCCTTCAAATTAACACTTAAATGTTACGCAACGTGGTCCTAAATTCGTTCCTCACAAGAAATGCCCCTCATTCTCTGAACTGAATTCAGCAACTGTAGTGCTGATATTCCGCGCAACACACCTTTCCCAAGTTGCTATAACCAGAATGTATCATATGTTTGCTAACAGGTTGGGATAAACTGTGGTAGATGTTGCTCATAAGTATGGAAAACTATTTTTATTAATGAGTTCGTACCACGGAGAACGTGATCTTGCTTGCGATAAATTAGAATATATTCCTGCATAATAAACCCACATAAAGTCAGATAACAAAATTTCGCGGGCATTCGTTGAAACCCGTTCATGGTTTAGGTAATCATTTATTCAATGCAAAACATGTAAACGCAGAGATTTAAATGGATATTTATTCAAAGTGATGTTTTACTGTTTAATTTATATTCACTTGCTAAGCCCAGTTAATCCATCTTTTGTGTGGGAGAATATTTCGCGGGAGAAGTGCAATTTCTCTCATCGAAAACGTCGACTGAGAGCGAAGGAATCATTCTATTTTTCGAAAAATAAGAATAAATTGCTAAATTATAGTACTAATGTTTCCAGTCGGTTTCAGCAATGGGTCTATCGTTAATCAAAAGCAACCCATTGATGCATATAGAAGCCTATTCAAAATGGAGGAAATGCAGTTCAAATGTACCACAAATATTTACCCTCTCTTAAAGTTATGATGAACATTTCAAAGTTTCCAACCGTGAATTACACAAACGCATCCATCTTTCCATCTTGAATATGCCGATCTCACAAACAAATCACCTGAATGGTTTCCATATTCCGGAAACAATTCACCTGAGTGGCTGATACAATCACAATGCCGACAGAAGTTGGTAAACAATTACCTCCAGTGGATTGAGAATGTAATTTTTTGGGCTAATCACTAGACTCGATGTAAAATAACATTAAGAAAACTTAAATGTAAGCAGCATAGAAAGTAGGGAAAATTAATGAAAACTTCAAATAGAAAGTCATCAAATGGTTTGGTAAACATCTTTATAGTAATCAGCAAGGTTATAATTTTCTGAAAAAAATGGGATGGTATACGTTCGTTGCAGTATAAGTGTCGACACTGTGAGGTAGGATCAATTTGAGTAATATACTTAACAACGGGTGGCAACTTTGAATAGAATAACCCCAGAGAAACCCTCTGTAATCACAGTATGGTTTTTACAATTATTCTTAGTGTATTTGGATTCTACACCAATAGAAAATGAGCTTTATACAAGAATGGTGAGTAGAAAGCCAGCTGGATGACCTTAAGATTGTATGTGGAATAATATCAGTACACTCCCATCAGCTTAAGATCTAAATGAATACTTCTGGATAAGGTTGGTTATTCCAACAAGAATAAAACTGCCAGCACAAAGTGATGCGATGAGTTTTTCCAACTTCTTGTCAAAATTCATCTTGTAGATCATCGATCAAGTGCCCTCACATCCACCGGTCGGCTCTACACAAAAGCCACAACCGAAGCAGTAACTACTCACTTGTGCATACACGCGTGCTTTGGACCCCAAGGTCCGGGGTTCGAGCTCAGCCACCGCCACCCAACTTTGGTGGTAGGCAGCTTTACTGTCGGCCGGTTCAATACCACATCTAACCTATCGGGGCTCTATGTGGTTCACCACTCCAAGTCCTAGGGTTTAGGTTACCGGTTTCCATCACTGAACAGCAGGTCCTCGGGACCATGGGGTTTAATCCGTTTGCTGTTCCTCACACAAAAGTGTAAAATATAAAAAATTGCTTAAAATGTAGCTAACTGAGGCGACCCGACTGCCTTGAACGTGAATCATCCAAACAAACATCTTGTCAAACATATTACTCAACTGGATAGACCTAGCAGTACATAACACTATTCAAACTCATTCTATTATATGCTAATCTTACTACCTCTCGTAGTTAGATATTCATGATCATTGATCAAAACGAGGACTAAGCCTGGAAATTGCCAGGTCCCGAAGTTATACATTGAAACCAAGCTCCTGCCTGCGGACGTTGGATAGAAACTGTGATGACGATGAGTGTTGAAAACAGTGGCACTTATCTAACCAGGCTCTATTAACTTTTACATTTAAACATTACTCAAAGCTAGGCCAAAAGATCGTTGAAAGACAGTTATTAAATGCGTCACACTCCGGCAGCGGGTAAATAGGCAAAAACGAAACTCTTCCTTACTTACTCTCGAAACATTATCACTCTCAGTCTTTTACCACTTAAGAATCTCATTTCACCTACGTATCTCCTCGTTTTACTCATCACCTACCTGTGCGCAAGTTTCTTTGATTCTATCAAGTGGTGCTAGGCCACGTCTTATTGTTTTTCATTCGTCATTATGGAGTCCCTATTATTATCGATCTCCCCAGCACGTACGTGGTCCTCACATTGATGAGCAGTGCTTGATAAGATCGGTTAGCAAAAGTAATTGAGAGCACGATGCAGGATGACGGCTTCCATGCATCTATTTCCTATGATTGCATCTTGGTCGCGTTAAAGGTGCTTCCTTGTTACTAACGCATTCACATTGTATTTTTTGTTAGTTTGCCTGTTTCATTAGCCCAACGGAATTCACAACTGCAGGAATATGAGAGGTTTCTTGCGGGTTGATTACTGTTGATGAATACTTGTCCTGCATTGCCTATTTCTTTAAACTGTCTCCTCACAATGTATTTTGCAAAAGCAATACGACCGTTTACGTTCAGAACAATTCTTTGCAAGCATACAATCGGTAAAATATAGATGTTTCAGCATGTCTGGTAAATTGCGGTTAGTAGCCTAAAACTAAAACAAAAGTAATAATCCTGGTTCTTGGAACAATTAGAGAGTAATGCACATATGCTTGAAATCAGTTTCTTTGCAAATACAGATTAACTGCTGGGTGCACATTTGGAACAACAAAAAACAACTTATCTCTTCCTTATTTGTGGTCATTTTGTCCTGAAATAAATACGCATTATATTAGATCAGTGCATAAGAGTTCCGCTGAATGGCCGTCAATGAAAATGACGCAAGCTTTTGCGCAAATAGTCAATTCATTGGACACTTAGCTCTAAACCAAATGTTCTTTACAGTTCAGCTTCCTATAGGAACGCGGACTCAGCATTTGATCCTCCCGATATCGATCAGTGCTTGACGGAATTGATTCTCTCTGTGTTCTGCTCACTTTACTCACATAAGCCGGTCAAGTAAGTAGTCAGTTTAAAATCAGATCAGAAAGATCAATTTGTGTGGCTATCAATCCAGTCCGACTTGGTCAATTTCATTCATTATACTGTTGAGGTAACCCCAAATCCGGTGATAATCAACTCTTTTTAAACCGAAACTGATTTACTGTTTTTCATATTACAATCCCACGATATGATCCATCTTATGTTACCCACCTCAGTGTCACTTACGGTACTTGGTATTTGGGCACGGCTTGCAAGAATGATTAACTACGGATTCAATCTACAGTTTAAGAAAATATTCCATTAGACTCATCTGATTGTGTAATCATACAAAGGTTTTGATTACTGCGTGTTCATGATCTAACATTCGGTATTTAGAGTGATTTGTGGTGCTGAAGTTTGGCATCACTAAAATCTTACAAATATTAATTGCATTTACTTCGTCAGTTGGATTCTCTTCAATGTTACAAAAAATTATGATGAAGAAATTTTCCTCATAAACGGGATATTTTTTCAGATCGCCATATTGTGCCATCACAACCTGAAAATAATTGAGAAAATCCAGGTTTGATTTGCTATGTTGCTTTCGATCTACCCTCCTCCATGAAGTACAATTCCTGAAATATTGTTTCTTTCCCATTGATCGCTTGTTTGGATATGGAGAATGTCGTTTCTCCCTTCTCAGACAATCAATTTAGATCTTGACATTGAACGCTGAAAATTGCTGATGGCCCCAGTAGATGTCAAGCCAGATCGATTTTTCTCGGCGCGCTGAAAAGCACCTGGATTTGGCCATCAACCGGTTGTGGTTCGAGAAAGTTCTCACGCTGATATAATTTCCCTCGTGGTGCGCTATAGAATATTTCTCTGTGTGAGTTCGGAACACCGGTAGGTTGACATGAGGTTCAGAATGTTACGTCTATAAGGATATATTTGAGTAAAGGATGCAAGTATGTATTTGTCATGAGTCTATATTGTTCAACTATTAAATGTTTTCTATTTAATGGTATGCAGTGTAGAATCTGCAAACCTGAAAGAGACAATCAGGTAAAATTCATTGGTAAATAAATCAGACATTTATTTTGTTATGGTTGCATTTACTTGTTATTGAAAACAAAACGAATAAATGTTTTCAGTTCCCATAAATTGTGTTGGACATCAGTTGCAACTAGTTTAATAGGAGAATATGTTGCAATCCTTGAAATTTCCTTCATCCATAGAAAAGTGAGTGCCTTGCATTTCAGACCCTCCTTTGCATGAACTGTATATCATTATCATTAAAGACATTAAAGACATCATTAAAGACAAATTAGGCAAAAAATTGAAAGAATTAGTGCAGTTGAGTCATTAACTGAACCGTTTATATTGTTCCCTTAGAATAAATCTGACGGTCCAATGACTAACGTGTCATAAAGAATCCACAAGAACTTCTGGAAACGCACTTGCAAACATAAATAACTGATTGTATCTTAGATTAGATTTCGCAAACATTCCTCTGTATTTTGACTGAGGCATTCGGGGTTATATCTGCTCCCCGTTAGTGATGCACAATGGATACACAATGTACATTTACTTACAGTTCCTTCACTGTCAGGGCTGCATATTGCCAACGTCAAATTCTTTATCTTTATTGGATAATAATGTAATCTATTACTAAACCACGAAATTAGGAGGAGAACTGCTTACGGTAAATGTGCTCGAAATAAAAAAATAAACCGGTAAGTGTGATAATGATGCATATTTTTCGGAAAACGTGGGACTGTTTTACATAAATTACTGAGACATTACCACCAGACTGTGTGCAAATCACATCTTCGGAAACTGTCAGTCGGTCAATGACCTGATGACTTGGAAGGAAAACAAATTGTTCCATCCCATAGACATAAAATTCTAGCATGAACTAAATGATTTTGGAGTTGCTTTGACGTTATCAATACGGATGGTTCAGAAAAATGAAGGCAAAAGTTCGGTCATTCACTATCAGAAAACGCATCCTATATACCTCCGTGCAACTAACAGTGTTTTTCCAACGACCGAATGTTCGATGGTTACTTGTATTTCCGTAAATTTCCCGTTTTCATTCCAACTTACTGGAGAGAGATCACTTTCTGTACGATGTGTATTTCCAACGGACATGGATCGAGAACTACCGATCGAATTCCCGCAAACAGCTCGTCGTGATTCGCTCGCATTTGTTGAACAGGGCATTTGTTTTTTCGTTCCGCTCAATATAATGTCACGTGAGGTTTCAAATCGTGCACCATCACTCAAAGCACCCCGGTCCGTCGGTTCCAGCTCGGTAACCTCATCCCATCGGCTGTGTACTGATGGCAACTTGGCTGTTGAGCTGTTGTTTTGGAACCCGCCGGGCATCTCTTGTTTTCGATTGCCCGAATGCGTATGATGATGGTGATGCTGAGCTGCTGAACGGGATTTTCGAGTGGGAGATACTTTTCCTGAATTGTGGTGATTGAAATTCATTCCCAGATGATCACTGAAGAGGTCCTGGCAGAATAAAACCGTCTTCGTGTAAGAGTTTTTGCCATTGTGCAATATGGGGCTAAGTGAGTTCTAGTAATTCGGTAAAAGTTATTTTTTCATGAAGCAAATTTACGCCGGAAAAAATAAGTGATATTTAAAAATGATTTCCCAGTAGGAATGTATTCTTGGGTATGCGTTTTCATGTCTATTAGAACATTGTTTATCAGAATAGACAATTATTTGTGTCATAAAAGGTTGTCAAGTTTAAAGTCCTCAAATGGCTCTATTAATTGGATGCAGCCGAAAGCACTCCTTCTTACAACTGATTTTATTATTGAAAACGGAGAAGCTCTCGACATGCACGCAGTTGTTTCAGCTTTTAAGTATGAAAGAGTTAAATTTCCAGCTTCATGTGGATAATATCTAAAGAGTTCTCGCATATTTTGTTTTATAACCGAAAAACCTTGAACCCACCAGGTTTCCATTTGCCCTATATTGATCTTTCGTTTTGAGACTTTATCACTCATTGTTTTAGACGTAAACACGCTAATGATGAATCGCTCAAGTTCATCAAAGAGAAACCTATCTAAACGCTTCTGAATCTTATGTCATTGTGACATTAGGAACCTCTAAAATATAATTCATTTCAACGGTTCAACCACCTTTTTATGCGGTTTAAGAGCGGATCTTGTGTCACAAGGTTCACATTCCCTTTCAAACGTATTGATGATACGACTTTTAAATGAGACAATAAGGATTTAAACTTTTGAACTGCATACAGACGGTACCACGGGAATCAGAAGTTATATTTCAATCTGTGCTGAAATTACCTACAATCATAAGCCGAAGATAGCTGCTATCCGCAGAACCGATCAAGTCAGCCAACCAGCCAGCCCATAGCAATGAGAAAAATCACATAAACTCAACGAAAGAGTAAAAAACTAAATTGCTAAATGAGTTTTCTTTTACCTTTGCATCAGGTCCTTCTGGTGAAGCCGTGGGATCTGTGGAGAGAGAGAGGGAGACAGGGGGTAAGGAAACAAAAATTAATACGAAATGTCATTCATTCAGAATGGCGATTTTCAGCGCAATCCTAATGCATTTAGGGAGACTAGTCTCACTGAGATAGATGAATATCAGTCATGCATTATTGATGAGACCTCTTGACAGTTTAATACTCCTGACAGGGTTTTACATAGAATCCGGTAGTATGCATATTTTAACTCGACTCTGCCCTACAGTTTTCAGTATCTTTCTCTCCCGCTGACCTCCTCCAAGGCTTAAAAATCGATGTCACTTTCATGTTGACCAAATGTTGTCCTTTCTTAAAATTGTCTAACTGCACGTTATCTGAAACACATTAGAGACGCGTATCCTCCTCTTACGCTCCCCGGGTAGTAATATCCTCTACTTGATCCATTACGTGCATAATGGTCACTACGGTAAACGCCCATTTTTTAAGGGACCAGCTCTAAAACACACGGAGCCTGTTGTATCCCCCATTTTCTCGATGAATCGGAATTCGCATCAGTGTGTGTGGGCCCATCTGAATATGAAGCATTACGCTATAGCATACACCGAGTGTCCCAGTACCACAAAATATGAGGATAGGGAAGCAATAACCCTACAGTTCCAGCTTCTAATACACGTCCATAGTGACCGGATTGAACATCGACAACAATTCAGAGCTAAAACTAATGGGTCATTTGTGTTATCACTTGAGGCAAACGAGTTACAATACGAACATGTTTTCCTAAGTAGTATAAAACGTTTTTCTGTTCAAAATGAAACACGTTCCAGAACGGTCTATCGAGAAATGAAGTCATTTTAAAAAGTTATTCAATAAATTTGTCAAGATACATATTTTTGTTTCAATGAAGTCGTTCACAAAGAAGATTCTCTGGCACATTAGCACTGCAGTGAACTGTGGAAAAATGATAAACATTGAGCTTTCCTATTCATCATTTAGTTAGCACTTAATGCGTGTGTGGGTGAGTGAATGAAATCAGTAATCAGTAGATTGAATTAGACAAATTTTAAACAAATCCTCTGCTAGATACCATTGAAGTTCGTCATATGTATTCACTGCAATTTTTACAACCGGTAAAGTCAACTTTTCAAGTCAGAGATTTTGTTTTCTAAGATTTAATTTCGTTTCAAGTAAATCATAAGTAAGTGTAGTGCTACCAAAGTCTACGTTTCAAATTAATTGTTGCCATTGGAAGGATCTATTTCAAAAAGGATATTGGAGAGCATCTTTTCCAAATAGATATAAGTGGTCAGATCATTTAAAAGAAGGCAACCGCTGTTATTCCTACCCATCTAAAGAGGTTTCCGGTGAAAATCTTTCAAACAATGAAATGTTGTTTCCCGGTTGATCACAATCAGTGAGGTTATCCAGGAAACTCAGCTTTAATGATTGTAAACATCTGACCTGATTGGCTATCCAAATTGTCTGCATTTTCTTTTAAAACGGTTTTTCAACTACGGTCGGGAAAGCTTTATAGATTTCAGTACAAAACATCGTATCCCCGCGAGATATAGCGACCTAGAAGAATGTCGATAAAAACTCGTCGCCAAATATTTTTTGAATGGTGTGCCTATTTTCTTTCGTAAAGAAAACAGTCACATAACATAAAAAACTCCATGCTTTTGATCACACTTGCGCTCGGGCAAATCGAGTGCTAGACAACGATTCAAGCAGATTATTGGAGAAATAAATCAAAAGAGGATAAAAGACTCCTTCTGAATAGAAAGTCCCAATTATTAAACAGCGGAAGGGAATCAGTCATATGACTGATTACATTCCTTGGTACCAATTTCACCACATTCTAATGTGACACGCATGCTCAAAAACAGATGTCAGAAGCTGCAATCAATCATGTTTGTTGAGATGATGATGATGATGATCAGTCACTGAAAGGAAGTTGAATTGACAGCCACTATGAAGTTGCCAAACTGTGCAGTCCAATAACTGTATGTTTTCCGTCCTCTCATATACCTATTCACTAATTCCTGTGGTGCGTGTAAAGCTAATTTGGTTCACTCAACAGTGAACGGTTTTGCTATAGGATGTACAGCCTTTCCACCAATGTGGAGTGCTGATGTTAGTTGAGTATTACGATTATTTGCTTCACAAAACCGGGTAGAGGAAAGGGCATTATTCACTTTCCAGCTCGATGCCTGACATCCGGTTTGATTAACTAGCTCAAAGATGTGAAATTCATCACCAGCAGTTAACTGTCCCTACTTATATTACTATATTGTAAATTCGATAGCTCGGAGGTTGGCTATTCACTGAATATCAAAAACCTGAGCTATTTCCTTCTCGATTCTTGTGCATTTCTAGAGCTACATTACTGTGTTGATGACAGAACGTCAACCTATCGAAGAAATCAGTGCTGAATGATCTATGACCGACTGAAAACAATTAGATCGCGAAACCTGAAACATTCCACAATAAATCATTCCACTCGGAACTTTGTGACTATCCGCTCTTAAAAAACACTTTGATAGATTGGGTTCACTTTGTGTGCACAAACGCAGTGCACTTCTCTTGGTTTTCCAAATAATTGATTTTTCCGAAAGGGATTGCACTGAGAGAGAGAGCATATAAAGGATCTGTGCGAACCTGATTTTCCAAGTTGGCCCGGTTTTGAAGACCAAAAAGATCGAGTGAATAGATGTTTGCAACCTTGAAGTATCAATACCGTTCGGCTATCGAGAAACTGTTAACTTTCACCCGGAGTTCTTCAAGCCTAAGTAATTTCTATTTTCTGAATAAAATGGTTTTATACACTGTGAAATCGTGTGATATTTTATTGTTTGTGTTCCGTCTGTATATCTGTCTAATTTCGTCATGAAACAGACTTCCCTTAGATCAACCAATTATTAACGGATTCCGGTTAACGAACATGAAATACCAGAATATAGATTATATAGATGGATATAGATGACTCAAACTCATTCATCAGTACTTTTCTTCTTAATGACTGAAAAAAAATAGTCCATCGTATTTGCAAGGCTGAAAGTATTTGACTTCTGTTAACTGGTTTTGTGTGATAACTCATTCTTAGTCATAGACCTGCAGCTCGTTTACTCAAATATGAGTCGCTTCCGCTCTGAATTGGTGAATCTAAAACAAACAAAACAGTAATTTGTCACATAGAACTTCTTTAATTTTATCGAGAATTTTTCTTTAGAATTTCATAAATTAATCCCTTTATGTCATCTTGATTTGATCATAATAGATTGCCATCAAAAACACGTTTCTTGTGATCACTTCAAATTGGCACTGCATAGTAGTCAGTTGTGAAGTTGATATTCTCTCCTTTTTATTCAAGTCATTTCACTGATATAACAGAAGGCAGCAAAACGATAGTCATCTTATTGAGATAACAATTACTTCTTTCTGTTTCACCTATCTAGTTCAATTTTCCCGTTTTGTGTTCATCATAAACTATCAATTTTTTCTTTTGTTGGAAATACAAACTTTGACATCTTTCCCTAGAGAATCTATGGCTTATAATCATGTAAACTGTGTACAACTGATATGACCGAGTTGGGGCTTTTTAAAACTTCCATGTTGTTTGTCAATAACTTCATCAACAGTTATGGTTCTTGGGGTCGAACAGATGAGCGAACCAATCACGTAGATGCAAGCAAATAAACGTATTGCTTTAAAGTCTATTTTAGTTTCCGATGTAATAAGAGTTTGTTTGCGAAAGCTGTTCAGAATGTGGTTTGTTCTCAGAACGTGATCTATCATGTACATTGCAGACACACGTGGAACTAAACGATTACAAACGCTTTCCATCGTCTGCATCGACCAGCGGATATACAACTATGAACTAACGAAGTAATGTCGCACTACGACCCATATTTGACTGTCTGCTTCGAGTAAACTGGATCCCATTTGCTCCAGCAATTGCTTCAAGTGGAATTTAAAAATGCCTTTCGCTGTTTCAATGTGTGGTACACTCATAGTTTATTTTTCGTGACATCCTGGATTTAGTGACCAGTTGGATTCAAAAATATCTCTCCCCCAGAATACCTTTAAATTTTCCCAGTTCACTTTATCACCAAGACTGACAAATATTCATACTGTCGAATGTTCTCAACCAGTCTTGAAAATAATTCAGGAAATGAAAAAGAAACATATTGCCATATTTTGTGAAGCCACTCACCTGAATTGAGGTAATCCGATTTGGCTGCATCTCTGCTTTGAGCAGCCAGCTCCCTGTAATGTGAACAAAATAGAGGGGAGGGCTGTCAGTTTCATCGAACTGATGAAGTTGTTAAGAGACATGTGGCATGTGAATCGGGATGTTGACCACGCACGCACGCACGCACACACACAGTGGAAGAATTATTTCATCTCCATTGGGAACTGTTGGATTAGACATGGTGATCCCTAGTGGAACTTTACTCACAGGATGGTGATACGATTCAACCGGATACAAAGAACGAAGCAACCAACTAATTCTGGTTAGCAGTTGAATAGAAATGGAAACAGGTCAACCCAAAGCAAGAGTAATGAATGCACACGTAGACAGTCCTCATGGACATATTTGGTAGATTTTTAGTTTTATCATATTTCCACCACCAGCGAAACCATTGAGTATAAAGGTGATTTAAATTTAGACGAGGAAACTAAAATGATGTTTAACTCTCATCAGAATTACCTGTTCTATCTCACAGAGCTTTTCTTGGGGCGAGATACACCCCCCACCCTGAAAATGGTAATGAGTTTTGCTTTTACGATACTGTTAATCAGATGTGAGGTTAAAAGTAAAATCACATGAAAAACTATCCGAGAGAATTGAAACGAGCATCTTTAGAAAAAAGCCGATGATACAGAATTGACCGTTTCGATGCTTTCAGGACATATTAGATAAATTTAGTTTAAGACTACCGACGAAAAACGAATCTTGTGTACTTAAAGATTCAAAGATTTATTATGAGATTAACTTACAAGCTCATGCTTTTCTGGTCCCATAGGTTCGTGCGGTGGAGTAAGAAACAATTATACATACAATTCTTTGTGTAAAATGTCACATGATACGTGCATTTTCCACTGCTGCACGCAGCTTCACTTATGTTGGAATGTAAGGTGTGCTAATGTTTCATCGAGCCTCAGTTTGAAAGATTCAGTGCTTGGAGCACAGACGACGTAGGATGGTAGAGAGTTCCAGATTGAACACACTTTGACTGCGAATGACTGACGCCGGCATTCCAAGCGGCATTTTGAGACTACTAGTTTAAATGGATGTCCTCTAAGATGAACGTTGGGTGATAAAACCAAATGCTTACACGAGCAGGTATTCTTGTAAAAAGTCGAGAAAATCCCTTTTAAATTTGAGGTGAAATGAGAACATTTTTGTCTACCATTCCTACCCTGAGACTTCTGGGAAGTGCACCATTCTTAATGGAACAGATGTCATTGCCCAGAACCTGCTTTGCCTTTCACATATCATACTATTATTGAATATTACTTTCAATGTGGCTGAGAACAACTGACGGTTTTACATAAAAATCAGTCTTACACCTCTTTGGTATGCCATTGCCAGTTAAGCTATAAAAGATTTGTGAAAGTGAAAATAAAATCCCCCAAGGGCACTGTCTGAAATCTAGCCGTTTAGATTAATCTCAAAAAAGTTATAGCGGCGAGTCAGTGGATTCAGTTGAATCCATTTCGTAAAGGGATTTGACCACTGAGTTTTATCTCCTTGAAATATTGACTGAAAAATACAGACATTACATCGATTTCCAGTTTCAGCTGTTGCTTCTTCATTTGGCTTATTTGGAATAAAGAACAAATCGCCATTGTTTGAATGGTTTGGAAAACAAAACCAGGTTGGGAGAGTGGTAAGTAGAGTGCATAAAAAGATAGTCAAACAGCGAGCTTGCTTGAAAGTTTTACATACACCGCTGTTTACACAGTAATAAAAGTATTTCCAAAGTACGTTGTTTTATGTTGATAGGGATCAAACTTCGTTTTCGCCTAATGCAATCTATTTGTTAAGTAAATAAATAGTGGCATATATCTAGTTTGCATTGGAACCTTGATCGAAGGGACTGAGCCTCGCTTCCGTTTAGGGGAATAGCGTAAAACATGAGTGGTATATATATTCTTTCGCAGGAAGCAATTACATTATGTTGACAAAATACTGAAAATCGGTTCTCGTAGCTCGGGTGAACTGAATTTCATTTCGCCGGTTCGCCGAGCTTGGCAATTGGTTTGCAAACGTTTCATCACCAGCCGAGGTGACATCATCAGTGCCACTTCACAAGTACTGATTATGAAACGTTTGCAAACCAATGGCGAAGCTCAGCGAACAGGCGAAATGGAATGCAATTACATTATCTTCTCAAAGATTGGCTCAAATTGCAGCTAACCAGAGCTTCTGCTATCCGTTTACTGATCATATCTAATCTACTCGCCACCGTAGTGGAAGTGTTCATTTCTTACTGACAGCAGTACGTAGCTAGGATTGAACATCTTAGCCGATTCCTGTCCATATTGCAGATAAACCTTGCATTTGGGAGACGGGCGGTCGTGGTAAATGTATTAATGGAGCTGGAACAATCCGCGTGGTTCAGAAGCGGTTTCAAACAAGGGATCCACTATAAAGGTTATTTAAGCAATATAATTTCCACTCTGTACATAAAAGCATTGCTTGAATATCAGAGCTATCAAACAAAATTTCCTTACTCCATGGACGACGAGGTCGACCAATGAAAACACTGCGTTGGAATATGAAGCGTTTTGTGCCCAACTCCGGCTGATAGGTCAGGATTTCTTTTTGGGAGTAATTATTTCAGTTTCAAGTAAACCTCTGAAATACTGCATCTGTAGGAATAGACTGATCTGCATTGTACTTAATCCAGGACATGAAAGAGGCAAAACAAAGCTGATAAACGTCGGCCAGATCGTGTGTTTGTGAGCGGTTTGTACACGCATACAGGCTGTTTTCGCGTTTACTGCATACGCCAATAGGCACATTTATTATTCCGTTGCAATTCATCTACATCCGTGAGGTTGAATATTCCTATGTCTTGAAGATCTAACTCTGTAATGTTAAAGTCCCATGAATGAACATTTGCTTCAGCGCTTCGTAGTCATAACCAAATTGTCAGTGCAAAGTAAAATTTTGATGATAGACAAAGGTTGACTATATACTGGACAATTTGCTTCTGCAGTTCAACCGTTATGATCCACGGGTTAGAGACTGAAAGGAACCCTTCACAAAGCATTAGCAGAACTGCATTCCTCAAAGTCCCCGTGGGTATTCATAACACAGATAGCCATAACGGCAAGCAGCACGAACTGTTTGTAGAAAATATCCTAAGAAAGCGGAATTGTAAACCATCACTTAGAACGGTGAACCCAACATGTGAAGAGTAACAGAGATCACTTCTAGCTAAAAATTTGTACCGAATGTATGCAACGAAACGGGACACATCTTTCATTCAATTAGCTGGAGCGAGAGTTCATTGCGATTTTTCATTACTCTCTAGACATTCATGAAGACAGGTCGGAAAAAATACTAGAAACCCATAAAATGAATTCTCAATGAAAACCCGTCTATTGTTAGACTTAATTAGGATGTACACGAAATTCACCGGATCGGGTAGTCCCCCTGAATCGGCTGGTTTATGGGACCAATCTCGAAAAAAGACAGTTTTCACATCAGCCACTACCAATGACCGATTTTGCTAAATAGACCTTACTGACAAAACAAAAATGTAACCAACCGTATGTTAGTTTGACCTATTCATATCGGGAAAAGGGATCTGCAAACTGAGTGCCATTTTGTTTATATGGTTGTTAACAATTTCCCGTAGGACAGTAGACGAACCGAAATGCAGTTTAAAGAAACTAAAAGAGCGTAACATAATCGCTGGACAAGACGTGAATATGCGATTCTGATAGACGAATTTGAAAAGTTATATTAAAAAAGAAATATCACCATAGTTAAGTGAAACTTATTCGTTTTATTTAAGTATACAAGAATACTGGTAGTAACATGTGTAACATATGTAGGGTCAAGAATTCACTGAAAGAATCACTTTTCGACATGTCGGAGCAAAAATATACTCATAATACTTAAATAAAAATCTCACAACGACTCCGAAATCAGACAATGAGGATAACCCAGTGAGAAAGGGAATGTAGTTGAGTAGAAAAAGCAACACAACATGAGTATAACTGATATTGACTGTCAATTTAGCGCACTCTCAATTCAGTATTTGCGCACTTTGAATGGGTAAGAATCCTATAGTTAGAAAAGAATATAGGTTCTTCCAAAAGAAGACTGTGGGTGAAATGAAAAATGTCCGGCTGTTGCGCAATTATCAAAGATATTTGGCGCTTTCTAAACATTCACGTTTGTCCGCTCGTTCCCAAAACTCCTAATGATTTTGGTAATTACGCACCCATCTAAGACGTTTCACATAACTCACAGAAGTGATGATGAATGAGGGTGACCCAGTGGTAGCGCCCATCAAATTATCACCATTGGGATGAGTGTTTAAATCCCACCACTACCGGTTGACTTTCCTCATTTGTGTGTTGCGTGATAGCCCTTTGATTGACCAATTCGTCTCTTCTTGAGAATTGTGTATTCAATAGAGGGAAGTAAAAATTGAGAAAGATATGTCCAAACAAAGTGTTCTTTGTATTAAATCTCCAGCGGTTTTGCTTGGGAGGCTTTTTCGGGTTTTTTCGTAAACGTCTGTTTGCTTCGCCACACAATAACCGTGAGCAGCTAAATCAGTCTTGCTCCCATGTTCTATCGCGTAAAAATATATGAAGAAGCATACAACTAACTAGATCCAGGTGAGCACGAGAGTTGTTGAGGATCCCGAGGCAGCACACCCTTTAAGGCCAGAAATACGTTAGTCGAACTAACTAATTATTTTTCACCTTTGATACATGCAAAGCCAAAACATTTGGATGTTATCTTCGGAAGATATTGATCTCACTGGCATAAACAGGAGAAAGGCCAGCGAATAGCTCGCGACACATAATGGAAGGCAAAACACCATTACGTTCTTGTGGTATTTCCATTGAGGGAACAAAAGTTTTAATCCTATTTGAGATTTTCAATTTTCTATCAGGTTTGCTCTTATAGAGTCAGCTCTTCGAAGATCTGTGAATCGCTCAAGCTGGAAGCAATTTATTCGATAATATAAGTTTGAATATTTTATTGATTTTATATGATAGAGAATAGATGTTCCGCGTTTAGCTTCAGATAACTGGAATAAAACATCATATTGTTGAACCTGAGGTTTGTAGCAAAGGATGAATTGAAGCTTTATCTTGAGAGCACCTCAAAGTTAACCTGGATCAATATTCAACAAAAACCAACGCTTGCGTCCAGATTTTGCGTAGAAGATCCTTTTTTAAATTCTAAAAGAATAAATCTTAGGACTAACCAAGAAAAAGATCCCATAGAGCCATTATTGAGAAATCGTATTTACACTCAGTAAACTCCAGGACTACTTTTAGTCAAACATTCCAAATGTGTTTAAGCACCAGGCCCATATCGGTGTGACACCGCATCCCAGCGTGCATTCCTTCGCTTTGTTTATGAAAACCTCTCCTTTTGATTCATTATTACCTGTAGATGGGGATGCTTGAACCTCAGTAATTCTTGAAAACAGCAATTCCTGCTTGAACTGCTATGAACAAATTTGAGCTCTGATGACTTTCTTTAATCTAAAATAATCCAGAAGTATTTGAATTTATTTAAAATAATATAAAATATAGACGTCGTCATCATTCTGTAAAGTTGAAAGTTAATCTGGCTAGAATACAAATACAAATATATTACTCTCAGGGACCTGTATAGGCTGTTATTATCAAACATTTGAATTTCTTTATATGATGGGATTGTGCGCACTGTTCACTGTTTGAGAAGCAAAGACAAAGTTCGCTAAATTTAAATAAAACAGTTATACCTTGTATTTGTATTAACGTTGTTTAAGTCACTTGTCAAAACCGGTAGAAAAATTCTTTAATATTTGTTTGTCAAACGTTATAGTTGCCCAACTTTGAAAAGGGAGCTCAACTGGTAGGACTCAAGTCCGGATGAAGATGGAAAGGCACTAATAAGAAATGAGTATGTTCATCCTACACATTGGAATCGGTTTTTCTGTTCTCATCATCTTACATTTGTCGTTTGAACACAGTCACTTAATCCGGTATACTTCAGCTGCCTGCTTTTTGGAATAACATTCCAATGGGTTTATACTTATCACTTGACAAACAACATCCCGCTGCGTTTCNCATCCCGCTGCGTTTCAAAATGATAATACAACAACGAATCTAGTTTTGGAGTTCCTTCACGTACCCGATAATTGGAAAAATCCTTTGGAATACAGACTGATCTGAGACAGTTTTCCATAGATTATAACAACAAACTTGATATATAGTTATGTATGTGAGAAATTTTCACAGGGAGAGGGGACAGATCACACGCACTATGCACATTAGCTTACTTGGACCCGATACACATACTAACTGTTCTACTTCAGGTGCAGTATGAGAGAAACAATTCATGTGTTACTATGTGTACCCGAACAAAACAGGTGAACAACATCACTTGATTACATGAAGTGTTCGGAATATATTGTGCAGAAATTTCCATAATTTATTCACTGACATCTAAACTTGCGTATGGTATCCGTATTCAGATAAATTTCCCAACCACAAAATGGCACAGAATGATTCTAATGGCGCAGAAGAAAATACTTAAAGATTTTTTAGTTATATCAAAGAAAGAAGTGAGCAACATACAAATAATCAGTGCGAAAGAATTACCATTCTGAAGAACGAGGAAATTTATCAAGAATTTGAAGATAATCACCCCCAGGGATTGGTGTCTCATAAAGGCTTATTTGATAAGCTGTCAAAAGTGTGATAATGTAATGTCAATTCGCAGATTTTATTCTTATAGATTTTGAAGTAACTTCATGCAAACTATAGACCAGATCAGGTCGGTTTGGCCTAACCAGAAACGGTTTTCTTCTGTTTTATCTTCCAAATAAGACATATTTATAAAAAAAGACTGAATTACCAAAGCGGAGCGGCGGGATGGTGCAAACTTTTCAGATGTATGATAAAATCTTATTTAAAAAGTGAAATGGTAAACGGGCAGCCTGCCTAAATTGTTGAAACAGGTTAAGGTCGATTTGTATTTCAGAAGACCAGGTTTATCTTTGATTTGCGTAAGATTACCGATACTCATGTAAATGCGATAACATGCAGGAATTCAATTTGTTCACATTTCCCTCAAATTAATAACACTTTCGAAATTTGTTTGCTGTAAAGCAAAAAGCACACTCCTCGCTCAATGTTGGTTCAACTCATATGCTTCAAAAAGGTCAAACTTTCTCAAAGTGTGAAGGACATCGACCGGTAGTGTAAAAACATAATGCCACTTGTTCGCCATGCAAGTGATTATTTGATAAACATCATGGTAGTCAGCTAAGGAAGTAAAATTAAACTACGAAATGAAAAAATCTTCATTGGGAAGTACAGATGCCCATTTCTATTGTGCGTGATGACATGCGTGTAAGAAACATTTTTGAACATTTTGAAACGGCTGTTTCCACTGTTGCATGGTTTTAATAATCCGTGTTATATCGTGTTTTTGGTGTGTATGACGTCTCAGAAAGATGCTGCCTATTCAAGAAAATAAAAGCAGTACTTGGAGAATGAGTTGAAAGTTGTAAAGATTGGGTCGAACAATGCAACAGCCATACCTTTCCAGTTGCAAAGCCAATCTACTTCTTCCACATTTTTTAAATTATCTTTCAACCTCTGGTTGTTAACTGGGTGATGGCAATGTGATTAAACCAAGTAAACATCGCATTTTGGTGCCAGTCAGCTCTGACCCGCTGTTTATCCACTGAGAGCATTATGAGATTACCAGTTACATTTATGCAGTGGGGCTTTACATCTCTGGGGAATTTCGTCCACTTGACTGAAGATAGCAGCGTGCTCGCAATAATGAAAAGTGAAAACCCAAAATAAAATAAATCACACTAAAAGAGCAGCATTGAAATTACCGGAGACGGGGTTTTAGTGCTGCAAATGTTGGTCGACGTTGAGGATTTGTATTCCAACACTCAAGCATAACCACGTATAGGTTTCGAGGACACGTTTCTGGTCGTTTGAGTCGCTGACCCCGGGTGACGTGTTCTGCAGCCTCTGCGTTGGTCATGTCCGCGAAAGGTTTTGTTCCCCCGGACAAAATTTCCCACATGCACACACCTGTGCAAATCAAGGGGCAAGACCAAAAGTGGTTTTACGTTATTTTATTGGTTTTGGAAATACTTTTGCTCCTTGACGAAACTCCAATCGTATTTATTGAGTAATTTATGAAAATGAGGCCAAAATTATTCGTTGTCATAAAACGATTGATGAACAGTTCAATGAAATGTAATCGGGACATTCGAACTAATATACAATGGCTGATATTTATGATGGAAAATTAGTTGAAGCAGCCAGCTGGTAAATTTGCCTTCGTTCAAAAGTTTCAGATTGTACGAAATTTACTACACAGACTTCTTCATTAAATAGTATAGAAGTGAGGGAAATCAGTTATCTATGAACATGCGCCACACAGTTTGAGTAATGCCGAATATTGGAAAATATTTCATAAGTTGCATTTTGAAACAAATTTCAATCCAGTAATGCTATTCAATTTGTGGTCCGTTTTAAATTAAGGATATCGAAATAAATATGCTCGAAAGCTCTTATAAGTTGATCAATCCTGTGACTACTGCTTTACAAAAACAGTCATCTCATCATTTAAAACTAGCAATTTCTTTTGGTTAAAATTTATTAGAGAGCAGGCCAGTTTGAATCAGTTTGATCAACCGGCAGATAAGCATCACAGTGGGCATCTGAAAATCACCTGTAACTTGTGTTTTTGTATGCTGGTATTTAATTCAAAACATATTCTTCTGATTTGAGCTTTGTTCTTATACTGCGTACTGCTTTAACATGGGATTGGCGAAAACCTAGAGCAACAGAAGCGAAATCAGAAAATGTTTTTTCGAGTCTAATCGAGGTTTGCATTATTTACTGCGTTCCTGGTTGCTTAGCAATGGTTTTCTGATCAGAATACCTTTCCCGTTAGATGAATATTATGTTTTGTCAATATAATTTAACCATTGGTTAGGGTCCTTACTGTGTCACATTTTAAGTTATCCAGCTTTGTTACTGTATGCGGGAAGGTTCAAATGGCTGATTTTAGAAGTCAATTTGATGATGGATGGTGTCTATCAGCCTGTTATGAAAGATAAATTACAGTGCATTCCCATCTGAGTGGTAATTCGCTGAGAAATCGTGGGAATGTTTTTCGGACAGCTGTGTCAACATCCGTCGTTGTGAAACCTGTGTTAGATTAGCTGCGAATGATAAATTTAAAAAACCCACACTGAGGAACTGCTAAATGTGAAATGTGTCGTTCTTTCTGTGATGTTTGGAAATGATACACCATACGTGACATCTGTTTACTCCAGATGAGGCCGGAATTTTATTTTCAGGGGACGATTGACTGGAAACAATCATCACCAGGCTTTAGAAAAAAAAACGTACAAAAGTCATCTGAGTTTGATAATGTTAATAACGTTTACGGCGGTAGGTTCCGAATTCAGACCCCACGGTTGTGTGGGCCTTCTTCGGAGCTGGCGGGAGTTCAGACCCACGCTTCCCCGGGGAAAATTTCTTCTCTTTCTGGAGCGTTTATCATGTGCTTCACTCACATAGTCACCTGAGGACAGCGATAAATCTGACAGATCACAGTCTATTCACACTGAGGCTGAATAAAAGAAGTGGATGGGTGCGTGTACGCATGCATACACTCGTGTGTGATCCATTCGGTGTTCGACAAGTGACAGCGCGCTTAACAAGAATTATCCGGGTCCACGTGATTCGTGTGCTTAGAACCATTTCCTATGCCTTGGTTTTCCCTCGATAGGCCAATCGATTATTGCTGAACTGCTTTATTTATTCGTTCCGAAATTTGGTAATATTAGGATTTATCAGGCGGATACTTATTTTTGAACGCTCCACCGGTTCGGTGTGACCGATAAAGTGGCGCGTTGTCAATTTAATGAACACCTAGAAAATATTAATAGTAATGATTACCATTTCTATCATTATTTTCAAGTTACTTACTTCTATTGAATATACAATCAAACAATTTTCAGGAAAAAGGAAGTGAACAATATTAAGGCTGCCATTCAACAGAAAATGGGGAAAGTTATGTGGCGATGGTGATAGCGGGACTCGAATTCAAGTTGATCGAAAACACTCGGTCAACACCGCTCATCGGCAGCATATTTTTACAATTGGTTATTGTTGAGGATGCTAATCACCTTTCTATGTTTAACAACCGATGTCGCCGTAGAACCGCTCGTGTCCGGTAAGAACTTCGGGTGAGCAAAGACGAGGCTTGTTAATGTCTTTCGGATGTGGATATTCAATCTCTAACAGAGGTAGTAGTCGCTCTACACCGACTCCTACGGCTTGGGCACGTATTGCCTATGTCTACCAATCGTCTGCCTTTTGGGTGATATATATATGCACTGTTTTGGTAGTATAAGGCATACTCGTTATTTTAGTAATCACATTATTTTCGGACGAAAAACAAATAAATATTGAAAATTATTTTTTAGTCACTTTTTATCTTCTAGACGCTTGCTTCCGCATCTGTAAAAAAAATGAAGTCAGTCTTGTAAAAGGCTTTTTTCATCAGAGTTCAGTCAGATGGGAAGAGACATGCTAGAATAGGCTGCACACATTATTTGTAATTGGATTTCAGTCCCTTCTATACACCCCCGTGGAGACTCAAGTTGAGACATGACAGATGTCGCTTTTTCACAGAAACATGGAGAAGACCATTTTTGAGAGCCTTGTCACAGTTGACTTCAGCAGAATGAAGATAAACTTGAGTAGCAACTCACCAAACATCCAGACGTCCGAGGCTGAGCTGAATCGACGATGATGCACACTTTCGGGCGCCATCCATTTGATGGGCATTTTGCGTCCCTTGTCAGCTGATGGGGCAAATAAATTCATAGGTGACAGTGGCTAAAAGCGATTCATTCACAAATGTGGAACAAGCATCCACGTATTTCGTGTGAGGAGACTAGTTTCGGATTCGCTCACTTATGTCACTCAAAACAAACTTTTACTTCTCCTGGCGTTCTAGCATTCTAAGCATTTTGGGAACCCCGTGACAAGCACTAGGGTACCAATCAGTCCTATAAGTGTTCCAAATGAATCATATCAATCATTTTTTAATGAATAATTTATAACGGCCATTAACTCTTCCAGTGCGAATCCTATCCGGTGGGTATGAATAGAGTATACCAAGATTTGATAAAAGCATAAATGCTGAAACTGTTTCTCCGGAAACACTCAAGCGTCTATCAACTGCGATTTTGATGTCAAACAAAAAATGTATTAGAAGGTTCTTGGTTTTTCAATGTGACAAGTAATATTTGTTAATAATTGTAGCCTAGATATAATTTAGATGGTCCGTTGGTTTCGAAATCAAAGATGGTCAACATTGTCTTTCCTTAATTTAATATGGACTGTTAAGGCCATAAACGGCAGCTATTGGTCTCAAGATTTCAAACAATTTTGAAATTTTCATCCCTGGAATGCAGTGTGATTATCTTCCTAGTATCACGTGCCTAGTGTGACGTGAGAAAATGCAGTCAGCATGTTACTAATGTGACCTATTGTTCAGATGGATATTTAGATTCTGGTTATCATTTGCAGATTTAACTGTGCAAAAGGTTACGGATTTAAAGCGTGCTATCAACATTGGAGATTCGGAGAGAAACACTGATAGCAGTTATTCACCGCAGCGCATTCTTACTCAAGCTAAGGCTATCGTATTTCTTTCTGGTCCGAATTAGTATCATTCACCCATTTTGAAATGAGTGAATTTGTTCAGTGTGGTCAACTGTGTGTTAACAGTTATGTAATCTGCCTGTCAGCAACTATCTTCCGTGCTTCAGGCCCAGCTGATGGTAGCTGATTTCAGTCGAGCAGATCATTGTTCATACTGACGTCGTTTCATATTTCCACGACGAAGCAATTCAAAATGAAAACAGTATACGCAGAAAAATATGCATCAACGATTTCCAGTGCAAGAACGATTTTAATCATTTAATGCCAGTCTCAGAATTACATATAGTAAAAATTGTTCTTTTATGAAATCAGTCTGATGGCGCATTTCACAGGTTTGTATCCTTGAAAATTACGATTTGCCAGGTACTTGTTCGTCTACCGCAATCGTGAAACGATCAACAGCCGTAAAACAACGTTCATAGGAAGGAGGTAGCATAGAAGCTGGCGTTCACGGCGGCTGTTTTCAGTGTGAAGCATAAGACAGTCATTGAGCACATGTAACAAGTCATTATTGGGGCATACATGCTCATGTATGAACTAAGACACGATATCTGAGTATGATACCGACTTCTGTTTTTCTGTTTTGCTAATGCTACGGTACATGATTCACGAGGTGTGTATCCAGCGACACATACGGAACAGTGTATTTTGACGATTCTGTTTCCACAAACTACCTGTTATACACAAGAAACAATAAAAGTAGCCTCCTGATCGCGACATCGAGTGATAGATTTGATATACTTGTACAAAAGTAACGATCATGTGTGTTCCGTATCAGCATTGGCGCACAATGCTAACAACAGATGTTGCTTACAACGGGTTTGGCGTCTTTTGCATTGGGGAGTATTGAGAGACTTTTGATGACAGTTAACTCACCCTAATGCTAGCTATAACCACTCCAATTTATGTAGCAGTGTTTCGTAATTTGCACCAGTTTATGGATAGTGCTCTACAAATCGAGGCGCGTAGCTCACAATTGATGAATCAACAGAGTCAACAGCGAATTTCAAAATCATTTTAATCATTGTTCGTACACAGGAAGACAAATGAAGCATTTTAAATCAAGTGAATGATCTCTCGATATTCGGTTAAATACATTATTTCCAAATGCCCCTGACGTTCGTTGTTTGTCGAACACTTCGCAACCTTTCCCCTCTTGGCGTTTGGTAAACTTCGATTTTGTATTCTTTCTCCTCTGAGCATAAAGAAATGCAGTATGCATAGAATGTACTGCCAGCAGTTCACAGATTTGAAGATGATACTTCTGTTAGCGGAACCGGATTTTATTTGTTTCCGCTTCAGGATCTAAGTTTTGATACTCAAAAACCCATCACCAATATCGAACTTTGGTTAAGTCTGATCTATCTTTTGAGGGCCTTGTGTCCTTCGATACTCCAGTTCCTGGAGCTCAGGTTGCTGATTCAGATAAATGGATTTTAAGTTCCCTTGATAATGAATTTTACTGTTTCTCAAGTTCGTTACGCAACAATGTATGCAATAGAGGACACGTTTACTGCACCCAATGTTATGCATTTTAGTTTCAAGGTCTGATGAAATGCTTCGATTATATTCATGTTCACTGAAATTGGATAAATGTATTTATTTTTTAAAAATATTCAGAGATCTTTCAAAATTAAAAACATTATATTATGCGCGAATTGTTAGTATCTAAAATGAAAGCATTCAAAGTTCAAAACCGCTTTAGTGTGAGAAGTTCGATGAAAAGGGCGATTTTAATTAAAAAATGTGTTATTGCAAAGAAACAAAAATACAGTTATCTTAAACGCAAACGTGTTTTGTCGAATGTATTTTTAAAGGACAGGTTTTTGCAATTTACGTTTCGTTCATCTAATTTTACGCCAAGCCGAAGAGCGCACATTGTGCAGAAGGCTTTCTCTACTCACACGCATGACGTTCAATAGGCAGTTGAGATCGAAGGAAAAAAACTGGAGCGGTTAACTCGTGAACACTTGAGTAATTTGTCAAGTGTTCATTTTCGCTTCTACTCATCGGATCGTGAAAGTCAACTGGTGTTATAAACGTTCCATTTTTACCCAATTCAAAAAGGTGGCGAACAGGAAACGCTGTTGATGTAACCCGAAGGAGTAAAATTTCAATTCATTTTACCGGCATCATTATCGAAGCTGAGAGTTTTGCTAATTGAGGTTTCATTTCTTATTTTTCATTCAGAAAGAAAACTTCTGTCACGTGCTAAGTTTCCTCGTTGGCTTAACATGATACTGATCTCCAAAACCAAAATGTGATGGTTGTGTAAAAATCACTTTGCAAGGAAAAACGTATTCTTCTTCTTGTTGATTCTGCCTGCAGGTAGGTAATCGCTTTAGAATAACGGTTTGAGGCATATTAGATACAATTATATGACGATGATTCATGCCCATGAAGATGCAGAGACGAAACATTGTCCCTTCAATTGGGCAAGTGTGGTAAAGCTGTGAAGTCACTAAGCTTAATAAAAGTGTTTCATGGAGACCAAAAATAACCAAATTTTAAATTATCTACGTTCACAGCAATAAGATCTATTTTTGATGCCTAAAACGGCCGAAAGCCTCAGACCTCATTGTCTGAAAACTCTGTACTCTCGAAAATTCTTGTTTAGCCAGTGTTACTCATTTGTGCAGCTGTGATCAATGGATAGGTATATTTCAACATACAATCCGTTCAAGCGTCTCGGTCGGCAAATGCCAATCTTTAGATTGCTAACTTGTGCATCCAAATCTCCGTTTTCTCACACATGCCTCCCCCCCTCTTGTCTCCCGACTCTTGCGCATCAGTTTGTTTTATACAATTTAAACCATCTTAGAAACAAAATCCAGTTTCATTGCCGAAGTTGTTTTCTGTTATTTAAATAACACGGTTCTCTGTTAAATTGAAATCAGTCAGCAAAAATTATAACATATGTAGTAGAAATGGTATCTCAAGTAGATCGCTAAATGTTCAAATGGCATTCCTCTTTATTTTAATTGCTCAACAAGGAATCCAATAGTACCAGACCATCGAACGTAGTCTGTGCAATAGCTAATTGAGCTAAAAAAAAGTAGACTCATCATCACGGAGTGTATTTATCGGAATTTCGGTGACTGAAAGCATATGACGCCTGTCCCCAGAGGAAGGCTGATACGCGGAAACGGAAGCGACGCTTACTGCTTCCAACAGAATGCCAAACTCTTGGTTGATGCCGCGAAATATTGTCCAATACCCCGGATAAGTGAGCGATTACTCGTCTGACACACAGCGATGATACTGAAACGATGATAGTTAACTTTAAAAAGAAATCAACTCCAACCGGACTTTATTTTCGTATGTTAAGTCAGGATTTCTCGAATGTCTTCCATAGAACTTCTCCCAACCCAAAATAACCTTCTTTTCACATGAGTAACACCATCATAGGAAAACCATCAAACCTCAATAAACCCCATTCATTGTGTAAATATTAGACGGGTAACAGCCCTTATTTGCCTTCCGCTTGTTCTGGTGATTCTTCAATTTGGTAATAGCTGTTTATTAATATGCTTTAAATCCATTGTTGCCCTGAGAAAACATGATGGATTAAACACTTTGGTGGGAACTACCATACATATATTGTGAGTCTCTAAACAACTTTCGTGCAGTTCACTCAGATACATCCAACGTCAATAATTTTATACTCATGTATTTAAAATTTCAACAGCAAGTTTTATTTCACCAATCATGATTTATTAGTTTGTTAACGAAGCTAAAATACCACATAAATTCATCAACAACCCTTTCGCGTTGGCTTTCTGTTCTGAATTTTGTTAAACAGTCCAATCCAGTCTAGACACTAAGCTATACCAACGCACTTCATTGTGGTACAAAATACTAACTTTTCGGAATGAGTCGGGAACATCTTTTAAATCGTCACTTGGAAGAAGACTGTTTTTCGGATTCGGAAAGATTGCCTCAAGTACAAAAACGGAGATGCATTAACCGAGAATATCTGCAGTTTTCAAGCTCCCCGGCACAGAACATTAAAGCTGATTGGACATTATTGCAATGAAAAGCACAGAGCTGTTGAAATCCACACAAATTCAAATTTTACACGGTTCGGGCAGAGATTTAGGTTGGGACAACAAAATGAAACGTTATACGAGTTTTGACCTTTGGGACTCGATTGGCGCATTTAATTTCAGAGACACTAAGCATAATATATCATTTGGAATATTATCTATTCTCCGTATGTTGAATCCTTTTAATTGATAGGAAAAATTTTGTTACATATCTGTTAAATTTTCCATCGACTTTGGAACGTTTTCACACTCAATACGTTTGTCCAGTCTGATACAAATATTTCAACGGTCAACCAGATTAGTCTTGGTTCGATTCGGGGGTGTGGGAGAGAGTGGAGTAATAAAAATGATGCTCCCTACTGAAGAGTCCCAAATGGAACGAGTGTTGCTATTTCTATTTGCAGTCTATTATAACAATAAAAGGGTAGCGTGTTTTTGGCAGATCCATATGATCAGACGTTCATTCAAATTACACTCGTCCATTTTGATCTTGCATTTGCTCAACAATTGTGTAAAAATACCGCAGATATTTGTTGCGGTTAAACACACTGATTAGAGTTGGTTAGTACTGTTCCGTATATACATTCTGATGCAATGCTTGCGCTTCGCCTGATCACACACAAAACTGGAACAGGAAACTCACCGCGAAACTCGTTTGCATCGTTCAGCATTCTCGCCATACCAAAGTCTGCCAGTTTGACCCAGTCAGCTCGGGCCACGAGGATATTCCGAGCCGCGATATCCCTGCACAAACACACCCATATGGTTAGCACTAGTAGCAAGAGGATGCCGATAAAGGCGACAAGTATTCATGCAACGCAAATATATGGGCGTATGTGCTTGGGTGAGCCACGAAAATCAATGAAACAGGTTAACATACACAACGGGTGCGTGTTTTCGATAATCGGTTGGTACGAAACACCAAACGGGAAAAGAGAATCAATAGAAATTCTGTCGGAAGTGACCACAGAGGTGAAGGCATGATGCTACAAACTACGATCTGTGCCGATTGAGATGTAATTTACAAAGGACAAGAAGAAAAGGTGGACACGCACACAAACGTATTTGATATGAAAGCGGTTCTGACATCGATAGTGGACACAAAACTACTGTTATGTCAACCAAGGGGCAACAGAAGACAAATGGCTTGTTTGAAGAAGCACAGTGATGTTTGTGTGAGTGTCGATGGTAAATTGTAGCCGGTAGAGCGTTGATTTAACCAATACGAGGGAAACGGCTTGGTACGTAGGAAACGTTCAATTGTAATGAGTACGAGGAATGAATCAAACGGCAGAGATATTACTGTGTTTATCTAAACAATAATAATCAATATGAACAGAATTGATTTGTTGTGGATCACTTTATGAAATTGTTTTAAACGGAAAGAATAAAAATTTCCAAAACATGAGATTCGAATTTGCGTGGAATGTTTTTCTTTTTAGTGAAAGTCAGCAAATGAATGCTGAAAATGATGCATATGAAATTTTCTTGTTTTTATCACGTGAAGGCATGAAATTTATGTTTATATTTTCATCGTGAAGATGGTTTCAGTTTATGCGTTTTTCGTTGTTCATTTGTTTGAGCCCAAATGATGCACCCAGCGAGCATTGAGGAGCAAAACTTTGAGGCATATTGCAACAGACAGAAAAAATCAAACCCCGTGGAAGTAGTGAGTTACATTATCTCGTAAGTTTGCGCTATACTTGAAGCACTTAAAAAACCGATACGATTAACTCGATCGATCAGAATGTTGTGCCTTTAACTAACTGTTTGTAGTTTATGACATGTGGCCAACATCCGAGTATTTTTTCATTTTAGTTGACCTTTGATCACGGAAGAAAACAGTGTTCGTTTCTTCGTTAGATTTGGAATTTCCTATATTTAATGTGAGCGTATTTTCTTTCTTTGGTAACGCTGTACTACTTGTTAACACCTTGAGAACAAGAAAAACATCATGTGCTTCTCTAAGGTAAAATTAAATTCATTTTGCAATCAGTTGGTGACTGCATATACTTTACCTTGTTGTTTGTTCTAACTCGTCAAATCTTTATGTGATAAAGATACGTTTACGATATTTCTCAAAGCTTTTAAAAGGTTCCGTGTTCATCCATAGACAAAGGAAGTGAGTCATTCACTCTCTTGTACAAATACGCCTTTCGTGACTGTGTGACTATCAGCTTTAAAACTCATTTTATTTAGCTTTACCTGATTGCGCATATTACTCTAAGCACGCAATGCTACCTATAGAACGATAGATGTTTCAACCCAATATGTTACGACTAATACTGATGGCCGAAATTAACAAGTACAGCTCTGAATTTTGGATTTTCGCGATTTATCAAGTCATAACAGGGAAACCGTATCGCGCCTTCCTATGGTAACCAAGAGATTACAAAATACAGACGTAATACAAAGTCAGAAAATGATTTGCAACAATATTTAACACTATAACCCAGTAACTAAGCTATGGAGTTGTCCATAAAATTTTGAAACATTGATTTTCAATTAGATGTTCCCTAAATAATGCAGTGGTGTTCGGGTGGTAAACTCGTCGAAATAACCACCTTGGGGCCCTGAGTTCGAACCCCACCACCACCGAAAATCTTCTCATTATCTATATTTCCCCGGACAACTGTTGTATGGCCGCGGCCTCCTTCCTGAAAGTTTATTGTGCATTTTTATGATCAATAGACAAAAGAACGAAGTAAAACAAAACAAAAACAACAAGACAAATGTTGTGAGATGTAAACTGCCCGGTTACTCTGCTCAGTCGCTGACGTAAAACAAGCTGGCATATACATAACGTTGAGCTGGTCATTCATAGTGTACCAACGTGCACAAGTAACCAACGTTTTCTTAATATAAAAGTGAAAGATCAATTCCTCAGTAAGTAGCTGGATTGCGTCAGTGCGATTACATAACGGTGGTGTGAGGCACGAAATAAGGTCAACTGTGTCAACTCTAGTCTTGTGTTATCTTGCAACTGAGGACCCCAGACTGATTTTGCTCGCTGACCGTCGGTTGTCTGTTTCGTCATAAGCTCAGCTAACCACTATGGCACATATTCGGCTATCCTTTTTGATAGTTGACGGTTTATTCTGGCACTGTATGCGTCATTAAAACTGCAAGTGAACTGATGAAATTTCAGAGAGAGAACCGGTTTACCAACCACGATTACGTTTGTTCAAATCAATCTCGCGACTAGAGACGATAAGTGTGAGCTGAACAACCGTGAATGTGGCGTTTACAGCTGATTTCAACTTCTGGCGATCATTGAACTTTTGGTCATCTTTGAATGCAAGCTTCAGATGGATGGTCTTTTAGTTGATGTTCTGGGTTGGATTATCTTTTAGAAACCTCCTATTCTGTGTCTATGAATTTTGCTAGGTAATCGCTGTCTAGTAATGTTCTCCTCAGAAGTGGCTCTTCTTTCTGTAACCGATCTGGAGGAGATTTTCTTTTCCATCAGTGAATTTGGGTTCTCCCAGGCCCACGTATCTGAGCCATGAGGGAAAGGCTGGACAAGTGTAGGCATTGATCACTTTATGTTGCTTTATGTTTGTACACTTTGGTTAACTAGTATTGACCAACCAAGGGGATGTAGATGCCAGGTTAGACGAATCTGACCCCCACAATACTCAACACAGAACGATTTCCATGATTCTTCGAGACTTTTTCGTCTCGAAGCAACTTTCCGAACTGCAAATGAGATTCGCATTGCCTAATATGCTCGCTTATTTAATTGGGAAGATGAAACGAGGTGTCAGCATATCGTGGCATGTGTATTCATTCCGTATTGATAAAACAAACTATGGTGCTTTTTAATGCTGGCGTTTTGATCACTCAAAAGCTGCCCAGAAGGCCTGTTATATGTAAAGCCCTAAACAAACCAATGTTAGCAATTAAAACTGATTTCGTTTTAACGCGAACCATATGGTAGCAAATATATCGGAATAGTGTTCGTTGCAAATGTAATCCAGTGACAACCCAAATACACATACCGATGCACACAGCGTTTTGCTTCCAAGCATGTCAGCGCTGTGACGATTTGGTAACAAAACGTGAGTAACAATGGTAAAGCGATTTGTCCGTTCCGAGCCAGGAGATAGTGTCTGAGCTAGAAAGGATCAGTGCAAATAGAAAATGCAACAACTTTTTATGACGCAGAAGAGAATATGTAACATCTGTTTAATTATTTTAAATGACAATCATATGCAGTGATTCTTTTCCTAAAGATATTTATCACCGGCTTGGGGGGCAAGCTTGGTCCCAATACCACAACAAAAATAACAGAACATGGGTGGTTGGAATACACTGCAGTATAAGAGTGGGTCAGATAGTTAAGTTGAATAACGGAGGAACACTTTTGTTGTTTCTTTCACCTTACACCTCATATTTTTCGCGTTAGTGTATCATTTTTCTATGGAGCACAGGCAGACTGTACAGTATTCGCGCCACTTACTTCTATTCTGGGCCACATCTCAGCGTCTCTAACCGACGACACTCCTCATCCCTTTTGCCCCAACCTGGAAGGTGGGCTGCACCAACTAAAGCCAAAGCTGAAGCCAGCCTCTTCATACCTCTATGCCAGGTTGTGGTCTGGCCGCCGCGGCGTTTCTTCCAGCCGTGCCTGTTAAGTGTAAATACAGCACGGAAAAGCAGCTGATTGGCAGGCATACGCAATATATGACCAAATCATGCGAGGATGTGTATAGGAATTACTTCTGTTAGAAAGCGACTATCCACACCTAACATACGGTGAAGAACATACTCAATGCTCATTCTATGTTCCCACCAGACGCGAGCAATGCTTCGGAGACACCTAGGTCGAATACGGAAAATCAAACGCTACGAACCGCGATAATGCACATCCTTCCATTAAGAGACAATCGGATGTTATGGCGGCGCCACAGGTGTCGCAGGTTGGCGAAGGCTGCTCGAGCTTTTGCTATTCATGACGCGAACTCCCCAACACCACAACCAGCTGCAATCAAACTCCCGAGGTACTTAAAGCTCTCAACTACTTCCGACAGATCACCAGATAGGGTGAGTGCAGGCACAGAGACCTGCCAGTCTTGTACAAGCACTTTGCGCTTGGACAGTGCAAAGCACGTCATACCTGGATACCTCGATCACCAAGCGATTCGAAGCATGTTGATCTGCCTGTGTGTCGTCACCCAGTAAGGCGATGTCATCGGTATATTGTAAGCCAATGACTCTACTCCCTGTGAGGAGTTCAAATCCATCGATTGCTGGACCGAATAAAGCATTCTGTAGAACAACCTCTATGACAAATTTAAAAAGGAAAGGCGATATAGGTCAGCCTCGTCAAACTCCATGGAAAATGGTGAAGCTAGCGAAAGCTGGTCATAGGTCCTAACGCGACCTGAGGTATGACAATGCAACTCTTTGAGGATCAATACATAAAGCTCTGGTACTCCGCTCCTCAACAAGCAGTTCTGTAGTAAAATCCTACTGACGGATTTGAAGGTCGTGTGGACGTCTAAGAAAACAATGTTTCTCAGCTTTTATTAAGCAAGGCGGTGCTCTAGCAGCTGTCGGAAGGTAAAAATTTGATCGTTTTATGGGAGAAATATGACATAAAAGGGGTAAACACAAACCCAAGTATATTAATACCTTAAATTCTAGTTTGCTCAAAGTTTCATCTCAAAAGTCTGGAAATACTTTAGCTCTAAAAGGTATCATTAAAGAACTTACAATTCGGGTGTAGACATTATGGTCAGTACGCATAGTCAGACAGTTGATACGTTGCACTACGCTATAGACCTGCAACCACGGTGATGTTATTCACATTTATCTGAACTCTAATCACAAAAATATATTTATAACACAAAAGTGAACTTTCGCAGAATATTCAGTCCTCCAAAAAGCAATACTGATTGGTTCTGGGCCTAAATATTCGCAAAAACCAACAAACTGGGCTGATCAGATTACTTTAACCGTTCTCGCCGATGTACCCTAGTGGAAACATTCACTTGGTCAGAATTTTTCATAAACGATCACCACCGAAAATTTGTGATGTTGGTCGGTTCACATCTCTGTATACTGTTAAAGCCTTGGATTGCTGGGGTTATACGCCTACCCCTACCTATCTTTAATCAGTATGTGCGAAACCCCTCAGAAACCCGGGACGATTGCACACGAATATATATGCACATAAACCAACTTGTGTTGTCGTCTGTTATTTCATTCCGTTCCAATGCGAAATGCTTGCAAAGAAGCGCTCAAACTGAGTGACAAGCAGCAGGATCTCAGAAACAGTTGCCGAAGATGTAATAATCAGTCACTCCATTTTCTCCCACTGACGGTCGGATACGGGACCTTATAGAACGGTACGGATTGACAGTCGTGTGGATCTAGTCGGATTCAATTTGCATTGTGTTCACTAACTTGTTTTACACAGCCTTGGTTTTCACTACTTCAATAAACGTGTTGTTGAGTTAGTTTATGCTAAACACTGCTCCGTTCAAGTAATCCTCGTTTTTTCGAAGAGTGGAATAGTTCATAAAATGGACATCTGATCCAGTAATAAATTGCGGTCTTGATCTGCGACAAAACTCTTGACTACTGATATGTTACTTGGTTAGCTAAACTGCACAAATATTTTGCTAACTAAGTTCTGTATCGGTGCCGTTTTCCGAAATATGCGATACGCCAGCCTATGCTCATAACTGACAATAAACATTCGTTACATTACCACATACTGCTAAACATCGAAACGAAAAGAAGGCATGAGTTACAATGCGTTCTGATTTTCAGTGTGTGCCGAAGGATGTGCTTGTTCCTCACGGAATGGGGGGGAGTGGATAATTACCGAGGGTTTCAGTTTACGTATCTGTCTGGGTGTATTTCCTATTGATTGGAGTTAAGTGAGTGGACAATTGTCCAATTTGCTCAGATCCGCAGACAAATTTGTTTGTTAATCGACTGGAGTTTGGCGTCAGGAAGAGGACAGACAGATTGTGGTGCTGTACAGCGCGTTGTTCATGTCTCTGTCTGATGAGTGGGAAAAAGAGCATGAAGTTGGGATGCAACAAATGATTGATGTTGACTGACAGAATATTTCCCAATAGTACGTTGCTGCATGATCATCCCACCATAGAATCCATGAATCTGCAAACTGTCAAGAAGGGCTATTTCATCTCTAAAAAGCGCGTCATGTTCGCGTTTAACGGAAGATTGCTTGGAGCGATAAAATCAGGTTTCACTAATGTTGCAGGATGAAGATTGGACTGAATGTCTGATCAAGGTTACAATAGAAAAGCTGTGGGTTCTCAAAGATGTAACAAAGTTTTCTGTTTTCTAAACCTCAACTCCTGCACAGCGTCCATTTATCATGTACACCTTCACAAAACAAAAGAAAGATAATAAGAAAAGTGTAAACATCATGGCGAATTTGTGTAAATTGTAATCAGAAATCATTAGGGAAATAGGGTATCAAAAAGCGACCGGGTTAAAGTGCACTTACTTCGCCCAGTGGTGCGTATTCCATGACCAACCAGATAGGTTCTTCAGAACAAACTCCCAGTAGGCGAATAATATGTGGATGGTTAAATTCACCCAAGATACCTATTAAAAAATCACATACGTACATAGCTGATGAATTTTCATTCATTGTTTGCCGTATGCCTTATGAATGTTAACAAATAATGAGAAATATTCAGAAGGTTTAGTAAAACACTGGGGAACAGAGTATGAGTTGTTACTCAATAGACAAACAAAGCAGAATGAATTGATAGTAAAATAACAAAATAAGTAAATTTTGAAGAATGATTAAATTTGATCATTTTTGTTTGCATTTGATGGTGTTCAGTCATCCCGACTTCACCCAGTTTGAAAACCCTGGACAGTTTACGTGGTACGGCTAACGCAACAGGTTCTGTTCGAGTTGCAGACTTGATGCAATATCTTTCTACCACTGTACGTGCAACATGTGAGAAAGCGTTGCGTATTGCAAACAGCCTATCACTGCTCACATGAGTAGCGATCTGGAAGTAGTGAAAGGTGTACTCAATAGAACTAATTCCGTCCATAAATAATCCAATTGAATGCACCACTTAAATCACCCAGACAGAACCACAAAGAAAACTCTATAGAGTATCGTATGCAAACTCGCGGGCGGACGTAATCGATCACAGACTTAATGCCAGATCGCAAAACGTTTTTTCGGCCGGAGAGGATTTAAACAGAAAATGAAAAGACCATTGGGAATAAGAATCTGGATCGATGATGAAAATTAAAAAATTGAAAAGATCAAACGAAAAGTGCCGATCTCTCTCACAACAGTTCCAGTATGAAATCACAGCCGTAAACCTGAATGCAAGGACCTGTTAATGGCATATTTCGATAAAGTTATACTTTTGGCCCTATCATAATCCAATGGTGGTATGACAAAAAAGTTTAGAATTTTTAAATTGTTTTAAATAATGAAAGTTAACTTGGAAGTAAACGTTTCGCCTGCGACACTCCCTGAAACCAAAGAGAGTTTGCTAGTCAATAAAAATTCTACCAATCTACCCGGGTCAATTCGTCACCGGTTTGGAAATATTGCATCTCTCCTTTATCTATGTCAAGCGGGTCGTTTGACTTCGGCCACGACATTTGGCTCGAAAATCATACTTACGTTTGTTGTGGATTTATTCGTCCTCACTTCGCATCGTTATCTATTTCAAGAATACCAAATGCTATCCTACACGAGCACGCTTATGAAATTTGTACGTTATCGCGCGAACTGCATCTTTTGTGAAATATTCTAACAATGTGAGAAATGGATTCAAGCGGATGCTCAAAACATAAGGCGGAAGAAAAAGAAAATATCGAGCACGTTGTCAAGTCGCTCTCAGAGAGTGCAATACCAGTCTTATGCAAATTCCTCTCATTTTAACAAGTAATATCCATTCAAATGCTGAAAAGTCACCCATCCGGGTGCATAAAGCCACTACTGACTTGACTTAACTTTAACGGTTGGGTGAGAGGTAATCCTCTACAACTTGCAACACAGATAAACTTACATGTTATGATAACAGTTGGAAATACAAAATAGATTGTACATTGGTTGGGTCCATAAAAAAGATGTTTATTTCATGATCTGTCTGACAAACACTCCGGTTCCAGACACAGGTGAGATGCATTTGCTTGTGTTTTCGGACGGTTTTCAGACTGCTATTTTAGAGTCTCCTCTTTGGGTTTATGCATGTTTATTTCAAACAAAGATTGACCTGTTCGGGGGTAGCATGTATAAAATCCTCACGCCCATTTACGATCCCAACTCAAATAAATAACCTAAATTACGCTGTGATATCCGATTTATTGAGAGATTATTCTATGCATCGGAAGCACTGATCTTCTGCCTTATAACACATTTTTTACTCTTTAGACCACTCCGAATTATTACGTTTTCCAAGTTCTCCAGCTGTGCTAGGATCTCAGGAACTGGTCTGTATGACTTTCGTTAAACGGTTCGCATGTATTTATTCGTCTCTTTCTCTTTGAAAAATTGTGTATACGACTATTCGGGAATTCGTCCAACCCAGCAGTATTTTGAAATTAATTTACTCAAATTCTCTTGTATACTGTTGACCCATCCTGATACTTGCATCCAGGTTTGCTTAGGCAGTGACAGGTGAACTGTTTATAAAGAACTATATTGACCAGAGCCATTACTTATTGATATAATTTCCGATTTGGTCACGTTAAACACAGATATGTAAATGGCATACACTTAGCCTGTTGAATGCTGCTCCGGCAAAATGCCTTGCGATGATTAGTTTTTTGACCCAATACTCCTTCACTATCGATTAATTTTATTCTAATGCCAGCCTACCTTTTGTTAGTACGTAGACATAATAATTTCAAGCTTTTCGCAATGAATTATATCATATTCCTAATCAGTTCCGAATCTTACTCTCATCTTTCAAAGTTCTCAAACTATCCTGGGAAATTCACATACAGGTTTGCATCAATCAGTAACTTGCAATTTTAAGATTTATCTTGCAGTCTAAAATTTCTTTTTCACTGGATAGGTTTGTACAATTCATGCGTCAATTCAGCGAATTCACGTGAGATTCGTCCCACCTGTGAATTGGATCAAGACTGATGTGATATCAGAAGAAGTGTGACAACCGTACCATCAAACAATTTTTCCATCTATCGCAGAATTTCGTTTGAACAGTGTACGCATTTTATTACCTTCGTTCATATGAAATACAAACGCACTTCTTTTAACAATTTGCGGTGTCGAACACATGAGGTTTCCAGGGGAAAATGATTTGCAGTTGATCTTAAGTTTCATCCAGGAACGTGATTTCAGTTGATCACTATCCTTGAACTTTATAAAAAGTATTTGATCGAAGTCAGACAAAGTAAAAATTACGGATAAAGGTGTACGAGAAGGTTGTGTTGGGAAGAAGGAAATGTTTGAGAACCTCTGAAATAACGTCTGTCCAAAGCTAATTCTTAAGCCAACAACACATTTTCAACACTACTTAGTGGTTCAGGAAACAAAACATAAATTGCTTTGTCAGTCCAACCTTTTCGGGTATAAGTTACAAACGTACAAACGTCCAGTAGTCACACCACCAAGCGATTAACGAAACGTATTGCGGTGCACGGTCTTGCGGCACTTTCATGGGATGTATTCATATCCCTGTTCAAGGTCATCCTGGCACAGGTAAGCGTGTAGTGAACGAACTAGTTATCTTGAAAATAATTCATACTATACCCGAGGTTTATTCGAAAAAATAAGCGGGAGCTTTTCAATCACAACGGACGAGTGTTTTTCAAATGTGAACAAAGGTTGTTCACATGCAACCCTGTTGTAAACATCGAACGGATTGGACACGAAGTGAAGCATCCGCGTGTTTTGCTCTGAGTCATTGAATGGAATTATTTAAACATGCTACGAAAACACGAATAAGCTGGATTGCGGTAATTCTTCTACAGACTAATACATCATAACTTGTATCGAAGATTTTAGTAGGGGGGAGAAATCATGACAAGTTGGGAAAGAAATAATCAACATTCCAGCTCCATGACCGGATGTTGTTCACTTTTTGTGTGTTGGTGGCCGTGGAAGACCGCGTGTTCTTACGCACTATTTTGGGGAGCATAGGGGGGGGGTGGATTATGTAGATGGACTCCGATCGCTTCCGCTGTGGTTAGAATGTGACTCTTACACCTTTTAGATCGGCAGTTGTAAACTAAGTAGAGGGGTGAAAAAACCTCGACCACATTAATTATGTGGTTTGACT